TATTGGCTGAGAAAAAAACGAAAGAGTTGTCCTTTAATTTAATTTTTGCTTCATTCTCACCATCTTTATCTTTTTAGTGCTTCAGATATGGTTTTCGCAGGTGATAATTTTGCTACCATTGTGGCGGAATGCTAGTTACAGTTTGGTTCCATATTCTTCTTGACATATTGCTATTGTTTTCAATCTTTTACAAGTTCATAAAGCCAAGGCAGTTAACAAAAGTCTTCAACTGCTCCCACTGTCTCTGGTGCATTGTCTCCAATAATTCACATTGTTAACATATATCTTAGCTAATTAAGCACAAAGAATTACATTGAACTTAACAAAGTATGAGACTTTAGGCTAAAAGTCAAAAATAGCAGAAAAGTCAAAACAAGGCAGTGAACTACCAATGCTGCAGAGATATGAAATTAACCAGAAAACCAAGCTACGCTGACCACAAAGGCATGAACCACTCCTTAAGACAGCACTACTCCTCAAACATTCATCAAATGTATGGAAAGCTAAAACACCGCAGATAAGTGATCATGTGCTGGTAAGAGCTAATACAGCAAGCAATACGCAGAAACAAATCCAACTCAGTACAAAAACAATCTGACATGGCAGCATAGCCAACTTCAAAAAGGACTCTGACTTGATGAAGGCTTAACCTCCCAAGGTACTGCTTTTACTGATTCATTGTTTTCCAGTAGCATTAACGACAACAACTACATCAATATTTATATATGGAGCTAATAAGAACACGGAACGATACAGGTACCATATGAAAGTACAGAATACAAGAAAATAATTAAATCAGTCTGTCACAAATCCTTCAATGTCTTTAAGAGTTTTTGGCACATTATGGTACCCTGAAAATCTAGGAAAGTATACTGCAAAAGCTTTGATCTCTCCTCATCTGTCATCTGAGAAAACCCAAAGTTCTTAGTCCATGTGTCTACCAAAGCAGGCACTGCAGGTAAAACCAGCTTCCCCACCCCGAATTTCATCAGATTCTTTTCAAGTTCGTCCACCAAAACTCGACACATACCACGACGACGGTGACTGAACCTGGTAGCAACAAGGGGCATCTCCGCCACCCTGTCCCCATATACCCTCACAGTAGCCACAGTAACCAAATCATCATTTTCCTCCAGAATCACCGTATAGAATCCTTTGAAATTCACTCGTTTCAGCTTTGATCCTCTGCTGAAAATCACATCTTCAACGATATCTCTCCCAGTGTAAACATCTTTACTAGGCTCAAAACACTCATGCATCATGTCAAGTGCAACATTCAACTTACTGTGGTTCTCTGCAGAAGCCTCAACGGCATGCGCGTGATCAGTATCACTATCAAAGCACCCCACAGGCTTCAATAATGTCCACGTCAGATTGTTCCCTACTAGAATTGGTTTTCCTGTAAGCTTTTGAAGGCCAGAAAATACTTGTCCACAGCTATGGCTACAAAACTGATTTTTCCCCTTCTGATCATTCTTCAAGTCACTTGATTGCTTCTTCCATGGGCAGCCAACATGAAATGTACGCTCACATTGTTGACAAGTAAGAAAACTCTCATCACTTAAATGTCCAATGCCACAAATTCCACAACAGCAAGATGGACAAAACCAGTCGCCATCAGGAACTTTCTTCAGGCCAAGGCAATTGACATGGAATGCAGAAGGGCATCGATCGCAGCAAATCAATTCACCTCCATAGCAACAAACAGAGCAAACACCATCGTTCTCATGTTCAAATGAATTGCCCTTCACAGTTTGAGGGCTCTGTGCTTTGGAACTCTTCATCATTGAATCACGAACTTGCCTTTGACAATCAGCAAGAGAACTGCCACTGCCATCGTCCAACATTATATTAGCAGCTGGCCAATGGTTGGTACTGCCAGCATGTGCCTCAAAGGCGGTGAGACCAAAAACCCTGAAACAACAGTCACATTGGATCCCGTCACGAGTTATCCGCCCTTTCTTCAATGGATCCCCTGCCTTGTTGTGGTAAAACACTTTTGCCAGTGGCGAAACCGCGTTGTTATCTATCAACCAAGAGAGAATGGTTCTAGGTTGGTGATGATACGAATCAGGAAGTGGACCCTCTCTCACTCTTTTAGTTGATCGTTGCACACGAGGATTAGTTTGATTGTCTCTAGATTTTTCCTGTTTTTTCAGTTTCTTGCCTCTTTTTGTGGGTTGGGTTGAACAAGTTCTCCTGATGGTTGATATTCCTGGCTCGAACTCTTCCTTTTTCTTGGTTTCTTGGGTTCCAAGTCTTGAGCCCTTGCCCTAACCCGAGCCCTTGCCTCTTCTTTTCTTCTAACCCTAATCTCTTCTTTTCTTCCATCTCCATCGATACAACTCTTACAAGCTGTTTTAAGCGAATAGTAAACTTTTCCATTAGGTGATTTGTAACGCAGTTCATGTCTTCCGTTCTTGGGTGCGTACCAAAAGCTCCATCCCATGGCAGAAAGATGTTTTTTAGCTTTCAAGGAAAGTTGGCGTGAGCTCTTCATACCTGGAGTTGATCTTTCATGGTACCACCTTACTACAGCTTCAGGACAAAATTCAGCTTCAAAGGGAATCATGGCTGACCTAATGAAGAAAGATAGTGAAGAAGATGTATCGGTTCTTATATAGTGAAGTGTAAGGTATCTACTCTTAATCCTACTTGGAATTATTAGATGACAAGGCTGCAATTACCATGCTCTCTTTACGTTGTAACTATCTCTCACTCTCTCTTTATATATATATATTACAATTTTAATAATATTTTTTATTTTTTAATAATTTGAAATAACAATTTTTTAAAAAAAAGATACCTTAAATCTAAGGAAAAACAGTACAAGAAAAGTAAAAATTGTTTTGATATTTTCAAACGAATACTAAATATGTAAATGGTGTTATATTTATATATAATTGTTGGTTTGTGAATATGTTTGAAGCAAATATGTTTAAAGAATTCTGACATTACTGCAAGAGTAGTAGTTTGTTCACTTTTACCAAAAGATTAATTAGAAGTATTTTTATTTTGTAAGGAAATATTCAACAAGATTAGAATGAAGTCGGTGAATATTTTTAATAGTATTGGGAAAAAAAAAGAAGAAAGATTTCCTTAATTGAAGAGGAGAATAACTCTTTAATAATTGGATTAAATTGGGTTCAAGTGCAAATTGGGCCACAATTAAGCTTTCTTAGCTTTGGTTGATTTTGAAAATTAATTAAATTAATAATATATTATAAAAGCACATGGTCATTAAATAATAAATTATATTTGTTTTTAATTTATTTTTAATTGTCAACTAAAATGTCTCTACATGTGTGTGATGGAAACAGACATTTATGTCAATATACCTCACACAGCAGGGGAGTAAGGCCTGAGCTGAATGGTGACTTCAACAGGCCTAAACAAACAAACTTGATTCCAAATGCGGCAAATATACCTCAATTCAATGCAGGAAAGTCAACAAAATTAAGCTTTAACAAGACAAGAAACAATACTGCCGGCATCGGGTTGGGCTTTCGTGAAACAAGTAATCTGCAGAAGACTAAACGAACTCTTGAACCAAGTAAATTGGCTTGCGATGGCTGTAGCTGTTCTGCTGTGACAGCAGCAAAGTCAGCCATGCATCAACAAAATTTAAAGTAAAATTTTATTCTTAGAGAAAGTGGAACTACAGGAACAGCTACCATTCATCTCATCACTTATTGGTTCCACGTGTAGTCTCAAGAGGATTTGTGTCTGATGATGTATTTAAACTGGTATAAGAGAACTTTTATATATATATATGATGAGCTAGGGAACAAGAGAATGGGAACTAACATCTTAAACTGTTTTGGCTTTATCTTTAATTTTAAAGAGATCTATCTTAAGAATATGGCTGCTGGTGGATAAACAGGGTTCTTGCAGGATGCTTTCTTAAGTTTAATTGTTCTTATATTTCACATGTGTTTTCTGTGTGTGTATTTGAAGTTATTTGATTTGCTTATTATACTTAATTTCCCCTCTATTAAGTTTTCCCAATGCTGTTATTCTTCCAATAATTTCTAAAAATAGTAATTTTTATTGGGTTGCCATAACTGGTGATGGTGTCATTGATGCACCTGCACTTAAGAAACCATCTGAACAGCAGTTGCAAAGATATGCATAATTTGGAGCGGCTCATGGATATGCCAACCTCTTTTTTTCCTATTTTCTTACCAGGTCTTTTCTATTTCCTTTGTAGATATCAGAATTGCAGGAATGTAGGTAGATCATTAGAAGTCAAAACATATCAAAAAGGTAAATCCGCGCGAATCATAAGGAAAACACAAGCATGAAAAAATGTTCTTCTTTTTCCTTTCTTTTTCTAGAGGAAGAGAGTGAAGTCGACCAGCAGCATGTACACTTATTAGCTGAAAAACAAGGCCTATTTCCCAAATTTCTATCTTAAATTCTCCCTCATATTTTCTCTTGTTTGATCCTTAACTTAGTGGTAGCAGTGTTAAGCATACCCCACATGAATGAGAACATTGAAAACTTCTTTAGATCCTTTTTTTCCCCCCATTTTTTTGGTTAGAAAACTTCATTTAGATGTGGAACACCATAACAGTTGACCAAAACAAAAGCAAAGCCGGTCCTAAAATTAAGAAAGGCAAGTGCCAAGTAGTATCTCCAGGCCCCCCATCTCCACCACTTGCTTAAATATAATATATTCAACCTTGGCTGACAGGTGACTAATGATTACAACCCAAACCCAAACTAATATCATTAGTCAATTTTTTAAACATTATCTTTCTGCATTCCGCCGTATTAACACAGCTATCTACAAGTCCATGGAGACTCACTGCTGTTACTGCTTATGTCTTCTAGTCTTTCTCTTTCTTTATCTCATATTTACAATTGAAGATTGGCTTGAATACTTAGCGCAGCGGAAGAAGACTTTTACCAAACACTTTTCTTTTCTTTCTTTTTTTCTTTAACTTTCTTCTTAATCTTAATTAACACATGTTTCAGCTTACAAGCCACCACACGACACCAAGCAGCTTAAAGTCTCCTCTGAAGATTAGAGAACAACCCATGACCGCAAACAGCTTGAAGTCTCCAACAAGCTCAACAGAGATGGATCCTGGAATTTGGAGCAAGCTACCGCCGGAACTTCTCGAGCACATACTCTCCTTTTTGCCTCTTAAAACGTTCTTGAATTTGAGGTCAACTTGTAAGCATTTCAAGTCTCTTGTGTTCTCTCCTTCTTTTATTTCCAAACACTCCTCTGGTTCTCCTTTCTCATCTTTTCTGTTGCTTTCTCATCCCCAGTGCTATAGTCACTTTCCTCTCTATGACACTATCCTTGGGACTTGGCGCAACTTAGCACTTTCCTTCTCTTTCTTGCCGCCTTGCGCGGCTCAGTTCAATCTTCTTTCAACATCTCATGGACTGTTCTGCTTCTCTCTCCCAAATTCATGCTCTTTCCTTGTTTGCAATCTATTGGCCAAATCATCCAGAGTTATTCAATTCCCTTTCTTCCCTTTTGCTTTTGAGCTGCTCACCTTGGTTTCCACGCCAGATGGATATAAAATATTTATGCTTTGCTCTAAATTCTCTGCCAATTACGCTTTTGTGTATGACTCAAAGGTTCATTCTTGGAGAAAATATGAGGGTTTCCAACCGATCCTCATTGACAATTTCCATCAGGAAGGCGCACCCTTCAATGGGTCTTTGTATTTTTCCACCCCAGAACCGTTTTCTGTAGTGTGCTTTGATTTGGAAAATGGAAACTGGGAGAGACTCAACACTGAAATGCCGGGGGAGCTTACATTTGCGAGGCTGGTGAGTGCTACTGATGAAGGGAAGTTGTATTTGGTCGGAGGAATTGGAAGGAATGGAATTTCAAGGAGCATGAGACTGTGGGAATTGGGTAATGAAGGGAACTGGCAGGAAGTGGAGAGATTGCCAGAATTGATGTGTAGGAAATTTATGTCTGTCTGTTACCACAACTACGAGCATGTTTATTGCTTTTGGCATCAGGGTATGATCTGCGTTTGCTGCCACACATGGCCGGAGATTTTGTATTTCAAGGTTTCAAGGAGGACTTGGCATTGGATACCCAAGTGTCCTTCAGTGCCAGACAAGTGGAGCTGTGGCTTCAGGTGGTTCTCTTTTGTTCCAGAGTTATATATTTCGGCTTGAGTTACTTGTTATCATGTCTCAGATTCTGATTTTCTTGCTCTCATTGAATCCCAAAGGAAAAAACAAAAAGTTGTGTATTTTTCCCCTATCTAGTATTTCAATTGATGTTGCTCTTGTTCTGTTTGTCAAACCTAGTTAGCGTCATGAGTTATGTTTGTGTTTGAGGCTTTGAGCAGTGAGATTGAGTTATTGCATGTTCGGAGAAAACTATGTGGTAGAATGATACATATTATTGGATCTATCGTCCCCCTTCCAGCACTCATTGCCATTTCTCTTGTAGATGCTACAAAACTATATGAGTTATATTATTGCATTCAAACCCTTTAGTATTTGTTTTTTTTTCCCCCTCGTTCTGCCAAGTCAAATGGCAAATGGAGACAAAGGCCCCTTCAGAACGCAGAGCAGGCGTTGGAACCAGTGATTGAGGCCCTTTTTTGCCCCTCTATATTCTAATGAATAGCCAATAGATGTTAAGGTCAACTGTTAATTTATTTGACCTCGTGAACATACAAAAATGAAAAGATATACACAAGTGGGGGAAAAATACAACTCAATAAAACACCAATAATAATTTGAAATTTATTATGTAAGAATGGACTATGGAAACCCGATTCAGATTCAAAAGTAGACTCTTGGCATGAAGAAAGACAAGGATAAAAGGCCGTTTACACAGAGAACAGCCATGCGTTTCCCCTTGCTTTTGGATATTGGGAGTTGGATTTTTACTATCTGAAATTTCAAATAGAATTTGCATTTCCTTATAAACCTACCAGTTTGATTCTGAGGAAACTTCTGCCTTGAAACAGTCGAATGTTGAGATTTCTAGAACCCTAAACTTCAAAGCTGAAGCATGTAAGTCTATGACTTCTAAAGCAGCGTCATTCCACTTGAATTTTAGGTAGCAAGCAATCCCACGAGGCGGGACTGGGTAGAACCGTAAAATAAACCTAAAGTTTCGTTTAGTTGATATTTTTGGTTATTTATTTTTTCTTTTTTGACAAATAATAATAATAATAATATCAACCAGATAATACCTAAATAAAATCAGTGTCATTAATTTGAAAAGAAAAAAAACTTACAAAAGATTCTGACATTATCCGTGTTATAACAAACCCTAGAATTGACTAGCCACTCAAGTGCATGAAACATTAAATAAATCCAAGTTCCACTATTTACTGAACAATGAAGAGATCCATCTTTCACGCTTTAAAGTTAGAAGGCAAGTTGGTGATTAGCTTACCAAACAGAAACCAATAGTAAATATTGTCAACCAATAAAAATATACAATAAAAATTCAAGCGCAATTTCTGCTTTGCCGTTGAGCTTTGGACCACCTGGTCAGTTGTTTCATGGATTATCATTTATCAGTCCAGAGGTATCAATCCTTGTGTTATGCTACTTGCAACCATTTAAGGGTAGATCATAGATGACTCTTCAAATACAGAGATAAGTTAAGATGCTAAAATTGGACCAATAATTATTAGAGCAAATAGTGGAACAGACCAAAATATCTAAATAAAACTAATGTACCTAACTTTATATTAGTAGATCAGACCCTCACCTCCGCACTCACAAGCAAGGCTTACAGATTCATCTCCAAAACTAGGTTTCAGATATTACAGGCCCTATACAAAATTTGCAAGGCTCAGGTATGGATCTCACTAGATACTCAATCAGAAAGGAAAAATAATTAAATCATATGCCACTTTGAAAGATATTCTAAACAAGAGGCATAGCCACTAAATTTTGAGTAAAAATTTATTAAAAGAGTAGTAATCAAAGACTTTGAACAATCAACAAAAGCGAACACTTTCTTAAAGGTATCAATCAATATCAAAATGCCCATGTGAAAGTGACAAGAAAGAAAATCAGCCACATCATTCATTTCTATCATGAAGTCAATATACCTGTTCAAGGCTTTAGAGAGAGAGCCAAACCAAACTTGGGAGTCTTCTCCAAGGCCTTTGTGTCAAATGCACCAGATATCGTAAGGAAGGACTTTGGTCTGAGCTCATGCTGCACAAGAGCACCAAGATTGCCATGGTTGTTGAGCTTTGCCTTCACCACTGTGAGTGGATCAACATTATACAAACATCCCACGGTTAATGTGTTTTCATTAGTGGAGAACTTTCTCACAATTTCACCTACCACAGCTCCACCATTCAGCTGATTTAGATGATGCAAATATGACACCCTTAGGGAGTCTCCTTTGTCAGCCCTGCAAGAAAAGGAAAGGACAACAAGTGATTACAGCATTTCTGGCGGCCATCTAAATAGAATGCCTTATAGGAGGAAAACAGGAAAGCCAATTGCTATTATTTGGCTTTGTTTTGATGTTTTGCTGCAATGCACAACATAATATCTGTAATTCATTTGATATTTATTAAACAAAGGTTTTCATATAGCATCAATCTCATTAACTGCTATATTCAATCTTTTATTCCACTTTACTATGCAATGGAAGTAAATTGCTGTCAAGATGAGACTAAATCAACAGCTGATGAAAGCTGTAAAGCTTACAGGATTACTGAAGCATTGGAATCTGGCTTTATAATTTTCACTCCAGCAGTATACTTTGTAAATTCACCAGGAGATGTCATGTAGCTTGCCTCTGCACCAAAAGCAATGCTGGGAGTACCAATGGTTGCAGAAAAGTCAACAGCTGAGGATTTCTTCAGCCCAACAGCTGTAGTCAGAGCTGCATGTTCAGGGAAATACTGAACCTCTAACTGCAAAAGAAAGATTATAGTGTCAAAAGTCTTTATGGCTACATTTATTATTCAAGCTTACAAGATAAGTAAGTCAGTACCTTTCCAGAGTTATAATCAGGCAGTTTAAATGAAGCCACAGTTTTTGCAGATGGAAGTAAATCTGTGACTGTGAGGGTTGTCAAGATCTGCTCAACACATAAACGAACATTAGCAAGATGTTAAACTGAATTCAGATTTCCAAAATGAAAATAGGGTTAGCAACAACATTTGACTCTGTGTCAAGCTTGACATCAACTACAGCATTCTTGTGCTTGTATTGTGCAGCAACATCCCCAGAGGAGAGACCTCCCTTTTTCACGAGATTTGATGCAAGTGCCTGAAGATAAAGAGATCACATTAATGTTTGCTACAATACAGAATGACAAAGCAACTGAAGAAGTAGAAGATAGAACTTGAAACTTAGTAAATCCAAAATAAGCTCAATAACTCAAGGAATGAAGTAAGATACACCTATTTAGCTATGCCTGCAGGGCAAAACCAACCAGGCAGCGAAAACAGCTAATTACAGAGAGAAGAAAATTCTTGATCTCTGACACAAAAAGATAACCGGAAAGAGAATAACACAAAAAGAAGGAAATAACAATTTCAAAGCAACAGTAAATCAAACTAATTTATCCGAGTCAAGGATACAACTCAGCTTTAAGTAACAAAGCCTCAATTCCATATTAGTGAGAATTACCTAAAAAAGTCCTTTCTGGCAAAAGGTCAAGACAAGTAATATCAAGTGACCTCCAGCCCTCTTTGTTCTATGTACTCAATCAAGTCAATGAGATAAATTTATTCAGACAACTGATTAGAATCATGACAAAATGTTCTTCAAATCCTAGAACAACACTTCATTCTTGCCCCAACCCCCAACACACACCAAAATTCTATCTTGAAAATCATGCAGGAAGGTGCAAAAAACAGAGTAGTGGTTCTAATATTAACTTAGTTTACTCCTTTTAAAACCAGAAAAAATAGTAATGTAAAACACAATGCCAAATTAATATAATGAAGCAACTGAGCAATCACAAATTGAAAAACTAGTTTCCCTGTAGTCAGTCTTATGTGCTCTAATACATTCAACAAACAAAATGACACAACAATGCAACAAACCCAAGACTTCAAATCCACAAAAAGAAAAAACAAATTGAGTAAAACAATCAGAATATAAACAAAATATAGTCAATCAAAATAAATTTTAAAAGCGCAATAATCATCATAGAAATTGAGACAACCAGATCTATCAAAAGCATATAACCGCATTAATTACAGCTAGCAATTTTTTTTTTTTAAAAGGAGCAGATAAAAGAAGAAAGAGATCATTATCGGTACCACTCCAGTGTAGCTGGTGCTAGAAATGGTGAATTTCTGGTCGGAGGTATAGTCTTTGTTGAGTAAATCTGGCAAAGGAAGAATCCAAATGGATACATAAACCGTGATCGTTTAAAAAGCTACCCAAATCGGTATAGGGTGAGAAGAAAGGTGAATTTACCTTTCGCCTCTTTGCCGAAATCAGAGAAGAGTCCTGGTCCTTTGCTCATGTTTGAACTTCGAAGCGAGAGCAACGATGAGGGGTTTGGGGAAGATGGAGAGAGAGGTTTTAGACTTGTTCGAAGTTTGGCAGTGGGGTAACATAAACCCTATTCTTGTTTTGGGGTTTTAGGTAGTTGAAATGAATTTTAAAATAAATATTTAAAAATATAAAATAACGAAATTTCTTGCAATGCATGTACGGATTAAGGCGTTTGGATTTTAGCGACAGGGGATACAAACGACACCGCTCCGAAAATTTTGCTGCATGACAGAGCATCATCCAACGGGCAACCCGCAAAACGAAATTCGGTCACTACAAAAACGTTGCCGTTTGGAAAAGTTAAAACTCTCAAGTTTACGGGCGATTGAGCTACCAGCCCATACAAATAGCCCACAACAAATGAGATTAAGTAATGGTATTGCTATTGGGCTATTAGCCTAAATAGGTTAACAATTATGCAAATTCAATGGATCCAAATCCAATTGGGCTGAACAATGTTAATTTAAAACGATTGGGTAATTTTTCAACATGAGAAATATTAGGGAAGTGTCATGGCATCAAAGCATTAATGTAGTAATAACTCCACATTTTTGGTCATGTAAATAAAAATTTTATTTAGGTACTAAGAGCTAGCAAAACACTAATTTATAATTAAAAATCTTCATGCCACTCACTGATATTGATTTTTTTTGTTAATACAACTTTTATTTTAACACTAGAAGATGATTATGATTTATTTTTCACCTCAAGATACCATATGATATAAATACATATGTTTCTTCACTGTCTCTCATTTTGCGTAACCTTTACGCAAAAACACTTTATATATAAATGAGAAAAATAGTCTAATTTAGTATTATTTATAATTTTAAATATCTGTTGTCAGTTCGAGTAAATTTAATTTATAATTAAGCATGTTTTACAAAGGCGGATTTGATTTTGGCGCCAATATTTGCTTCTTTTCTTTGTTTTTTTTTTTCTGCTAGGGGTGTAAGATACATTTACTGTTTATACTCACTAGGTATGAAGGATTTGCATAAATTAAAAAAGAAAAAAAAATTTGATCATTTGGACACTGTTTTTTCAATAGACAAAAGCTCTTTACCATCTAAGGGCTTCATAAATTATTTGCCTGTATTTGGCGGTTCAAGAAATTTCATCACTCACAAGCCCAAGCCAAAGCAAAAGCCATGGTTGACCCACGTTGCAGTCTACTCCGAGAATGTTGTTGAAAGGAATAAGAAGAAAAGTCCTACTCCCAATAATTTTCTTGCAAAAGAGTTGCCATTTTGTGGGGAGACAGAGTTTTATTGTTAATTTTAAAGTATTCCATCTTAGACCCAAATCCCATTGGTGACTAAACTAGGAAGAATATTATGCAAACCGCGTTGCCGAGTTGATTGTTACTTTTCCCTGTTCAATTCCACAACAATTAATTGCAGAAGTGCTTCAACTGCCTCACAGCCACAACATTTAAGTCTAGTTTGTGGAGTAGTTTTCTTACTTTCTTCTGATGTTCTCTTCGATATGGCCAAGCCCTCCCCAAGATTAGTAGTGAGATCTCTAGATATAGCTATGAGACCACCAAGTTGTTGGGAAAAATAAGCAAATTTGAAATAGGTCAATGCAGTCCAACTTTCCTTTTGGTGCTCAATACATGCACCCTTTTTCCCCTTCTTTAGGCTTTTTTACAATGCGATGACTGATTCAAGTAATCAATTCCCATAAAGAAATTTAAAGACTGAGGATAGCGCAAGACTGTCTGCGACTGTCCAGCAAAGACTATAAGCATTTTCTTTCATTTTCATGATTAGTTCATACCCAACTAATTATATCAAAGAAAGAATCAACAGTGTGAACTGAAATATTAGTTTATTGAAGGACTTGATGGGTTTGAAATGTGGGGCAAGCCGTAATTAATTAACAGCCAACTAAGCTTTCAGATTATGCACTTGATTATAATAAATTTGATTAGTTCACACGGCAGGTAAAGCTTTGAAGCCTTTAACTATCAAAGGACTATGGACCAATTAAGTTGCAGATATTTAAAATCTTAAAACCAGATATTTACGTACTAGGATTAGGTTCCATGTTACTCTAATGCTGTCAGATCTCAATAGTACCTGTCAAGTTCAAAATATAAGTAAAATAATGTACTAACATTTTACCTTTGCTGAATGAGGGGACTATATGTATTACCTCAAATATTTGTTCCCATCAATGGCTCCAACCAACCAAATAGAATAATCAGGCTCCAAATAGAAAGGTGAAAAGCTTCCTTCCATAGCCCACAAATAGGAATGCAGCAAACTTCCCCTGAGAGTTTCTCTCTATAAATATTTTAAGTTTCCATAACCCACCAATAGGAATGAATTCAGAATTTCTAGTGACAGGGAAGTTAGTCCTTGGTTTTGTCCAAGTGTCCATTACCAATTTTATAGTATGAACTAACTACTTCTTTAACTCCATGGCCCATTAGAAGAGAGTTGCCTGCTTTTCTTAATCATTAAACAAAAAATTATTCAATTTGAAAATTTGATAGAAAAAAAAAAGGTAAGCTGAGGCTTAGTGTGAACTCAGCGCATTCCTTTATTTTGCAATAATATTAGTTTACAAACCATGAAGTCGAACTAAACTTGCAACTTGGTATATCACGTGAGAATTTAATCATCTAATTGATAGAGGTAGAAAATTCTTGCTTTTGACAATTTCAATCTTATTTTACTAAAAGACAAAGAATATTTTGTAAATTCCAATCTAACAAGTAAACGTTTGACACTTCAAAATATATTCCAACCTCTAAAGCCATCTATATAATAAAAAAGAAAATAATTTCGATTGATTTATCCTTAGAAGCCAATTTAGTTTTTTCTTTATGCTTGGTCAGATAGCAGCCACTATCACCAATTCACTATTGGATTTCCAGGTCAATAATCAGAATGTTGTTACCTTATTATAATCTATCATCAATTGTCACATCTTTCCACTCAAAAATTCTTTTCCCTCATTTTTTATAGAAGATGCAGAACTGAACATTAAATTCATGATGTACATATATGATGATATGAAGAACCAAAAAAGGGGATTGATCTCAACCCGCGGCTTCCAATCATTTTCGCTAGAACGGTGACGTAGCCAAACCTTGACTGAACTTGAATTGGACACTCTCTTGGGCCGAAAACATGGACCCAAAAATTTAAAACCACCAAACCAGGGTCGCTTGCCATGCAAGTTGTATAAATTTTAAGCATAATTAATGATGCAAATGCATTTGGTGCTTCTCTTTGCAAAATCATAGAAGAAATTATCAATAATATAATAATAATTACTATATTAGTATAAGAAACACTTATAATTAAGTGGTAGCAGTTGACCAAAAAGGCAAAAACCACATAAAGCATCAATAATTCTGATTCTCCTCTGATATTGCCAGTGATAATCATTAAAATTTTCGAAAACTAAAGTCTGTTTTCCCCGACAGTAACATAGACACTGTTATTGCCTCGAAATTTAAATTGTCTTGTCTTTTTAAAAATGAAAGGAAAAGGTAATATGTTTTGAAATTTAAAAATAAAAACTATTGAAACTCCAAATATTTTATTCCTCGAAAATCATAGTGTTAGTGGTGTTTGGGACAAGAATTAAATTTAATCTACCGACAAAAAGAAAAGAAAGGAATTATACCCAACAACACCATTAGTTTGATTTTCGTGATTAAACGGGCAGGGCGTGGCTTGATCTGTACTGATACCTTATGATTGATCAGAGCGTGTGCACCCAAGTCGGCACTGATGCCGGGCCCCAAAATAGGAAAAAAGAAAGAAAGCGGAATAGGGGATTGTTGGCTAACGTGGCGTTATTTGAAGAAACGAGAGTACCGAAACGTACCTTTATGACAGTACTGAAATCTTGCTCCATTGTCCATGTTATCTCTATCAGTTAAACTTTCAAAATCGGGGTTTTCATTGATGAGAGAGAGAGAGAGGGAAAAAGGGCAGAGACTTCGTCTTCGATAAAAACCCTTTATCGAATAGCCAACCTTCCATGCACGCGCTGAAAGAGGGAGACCATTCGCACGTGCTCAACCAGACTTGGGATTTTGGTAAGGTCAAAATCGTGCACGTGTCACCCAAAACCCGCTGCAAGGGTCCAGGTGTAGCGCTCTTTTTCTCTCCGTTTATATTCTCCCCTATCCTTCTCCCTCTCTATTTTTGAGCCCTTCACAAATAACCCGAGTAAGCTCCCTTCCGGATCCGGTTAGCCCGATTTCAAAACACGTCCTAAATCGTGATCTTTGATCAATCACCTGCGGGATTTTGATGCAGTGATAGCGTTTTGATTTAGCTATGGAGACTGAGAATGCGGTGAATTACACGTATATGGGGAGGAGCTTTAATGATTTAAGTATCAATGATAATTCTTCAGCTTTCAGTGATTGTAACAGCGACAGATCCGGGGAGTTTCCAACGGCGTCGTCCCAGAGTCGGCGGTTGTTACTCGCATGTGCTAATTCGGAGAATTCCGATGAGTTGATACGGCAACTCCTATCGGATCTCGAGTCCTGTTCGATTGACGAACAAAAGCAAGCGGCTTTGGAGCTTAGACTTTTGGCTAAGAACAAGCCGGAGAATCGAATCAAGATCGCTAAAGCAGGCGCGATTAAGCCGTTGATTTCGCTAATCTCGTCATCTGATCCTTATCTTCAGGAAAACGGCGTGACGGCGATTTTGAATCTCTCGTTGTGCGATGAGAACAAAGAACTTATAGCTTCATCCGGAGCGATTAAGCCACTCGTTAGAGCTTTGAGAACGGGAACTTCAACGACTAAAGAAAACGCGGCCTGTGCTTTGCTTCGGCTTTCTCAGATAGAAGAAAACAAGGTCGCCATCGGACGTTCAGGAGCAATTCCACTATTAGTTAATCTTCTCGAGAACGGAGGATTTCGCGGGAAAAAGGACGCATCAACGGCTTTGTATTCGTTATGTACGGTTAGAGATAACAAGATCAAGGCCGTTGAAGCGGGGATCATGAAACCACTGGTGGAATTAATGGCTGATTTCGCGTCCAACATGGTTGACAAGTCAGCGTTCGTTTTGAGCGTGTTGGTATCAGTACCGGAAGCCAGAACGGCATTAGTTGACGAAGGAGGGATTCCCGTTTTGGTGGAAATCATTGAAGTTGGATCACAAAGGCAAAAGGAAATCGCCGTCGCGATCTTATTACAGATTTGCGAGGATAGTCTGGTATACCGTACTATGGTGGCCCGCGAAGGAGCGATTCCTCCCTTAGTAGCTTTGTCGCAGTCAGGCACCAATCGCGCCAAACAAAAGGTAAGTTCTTACTAGTTTCAAGTTTCGCTGACAGAGTAAAATCCGGTCAGTGAGTCATCGTTGGCTGACGTGGCATGTCCATTTTGAAAAATGTCCCCAGTTTTTATGGCTGTTTTAGCGCAAGAACAGAAGAAGTGTACATAGTTTTGCCACGTCAATCAAATCCCTCCCTTCTACTTTGGTTATTGAAAACCAAAAAAGAAGCCAACAAAATGACTCTGTCTTCGAACGCGCAACTCACAGTAATTGGACAGTGAATTAGGCTAAAAATGTCTTTTCCTATGGTTTTTTTCCCCGTCTATTCAACTTCAGTTGGTTGCTTTAGCATTTGTTTGATGGAAATTTCTCTGTTTTGAATTATTTTGTCTAATGGGTGGAGTGATTTATTTGTCGTTTTGTTTGTCATTATTTGGACAGGCAGAGACACTGATAGAGCTTCTACGGCAACCAAGATCCGGCAACGCCGCTGCCAGGCCCTCAAACGTGTCAGTATAAAACTGTCCCTACCACATGGCGATTGTAATAAAAAACATTCCAAAAACAAAAGGAAGAGAGAAACTCAAATGGATTTTACAAAAGAAGAAAAAAATCAAAAAAACACAAAAAAAAGGGAAATGTAAATACCTTATGTAAAATCGTTCTTGTGATTAAGTGATGTGAGACCTTGAGCTGCTTGATTTTCGGGTTTTGGCTTGCCCTTTTGGCTTATTTTATAAAGAAAAAAAAAGATATAGTATATATATATTGCTTCTTGACAGTTCAACTGCAGCGTAGTGTGTTATCATATATACTTTGTCTTTGTTCTTTTGTATCTTCTTTTTTATGATGAGTTTAAGAAATGATTAAAGTGAAATAACGAATGTGATATGGAAGTATCGCTGCTTTGTTCCAGTGTCACCTTTGCGTGGCCTTTCTTTGGTTAATGAATACTTTAATTATTTTATATTTTTTAGTTTTTTAAAAAAGTCCACGAGGAACTCGTGCATCAGGACGAAAGCAAGAGGTACCCACCTTCATCATTGCCGTTGATTTTCGTCGAAAAATCTTATCATCTGCCACCTGTCAGAATTTCACCACAACCGGTAGGTTCCATTCCCTTGTCCCAGTTTTTGACGGCCTAATGGCTGTTTGGTTCATGAAACCTTCTGCTACTTTTTTTGGCTCACTATCCCAACTGTTGTATTGTGGGGGGCTATTTAAAAAGAACATGATAAGACCAGATCGATTGTCTGGCTGGTCCGTCCTTCACTTTCTCTTTAGAATTATTTAGAATTGTTTGGAATAAATTGTTGTTTTCTTTTTTCCCTCACCCCAAACTAAATCAATGGAAATATAAAATGAAATGCACCCACTTAGTTTAGCAATCTTCGTTTTTTCCACGAAAGACTCAAATTTTTCTTTCTATTGATGTTGACATCATAACTGTTGTGGAGAGAAAATGGAGGTGGAAGTTGGAAGGTGACTTTAAGGATAAGTTTGTTTAGATTTAATCATCTCTCTTGAGAAATCTAATTGCTGGTTTGAAAATAAGTAGATGGGGAGTGATCAGAGTCTTGCAAATTTAAGGTAATTTCTCACTTATCTTCTTTTTCCCCCGATAACATTATACTCAAAACAGCCTTTACTCTTTCTAGTAGTGGGTGGTTAGCCCGTTGAATCAAATACCTCGGAGAGAGAATAGACCAGGTCGGTCTGAGTGACGCATGGCCCGTAAATGTAATCCCAATCAGCGCGAACCAAAGTCAAAGGCCTCCTCAAATGTGGGCAACTGACAAAGCTTTGCTCATGCAACATCTTCAATCCTTGCATGAAGCTACGCTTTCGCACGCCACCTTGGTTTGGAGGCAAAATCATTAGCAGCCGAACAAAAGGCCTCCGAACTTGACCAACCCACTTACAGAACTTTTGTCATATTGGACTCGTAAATTGTAATGCACAGTGTTAACATTCTCAGCACTTCTAACTGAATTTTTTTTTATTTTATAAACTTCGAAATATATAAATTTTTTTATATCATAACATGATATGTCGTATTTTATGAAAATAAAATCTTTCAACATGAATAAGACTTATAACTTAAAACTACTTACTGAATTGAAGGCTTTTCCTGTACACTTCGATTGCCATTACACGTTCTGTTTTTTTTTCTTTGTACTTCGTATTCACATATCTCTAACGTTCCAAAATTCTCCCATGAACCGGTGCCTGCCTGCTGTTAGGACAAGCCTATGACCATAACATTGCTGCATATTAACATGGCCCTGGACCTGGATGAATGCCGTGACTTACAGAATTAGGTGCCAAATTACCATTATTTTTTGGGTACATAATTCACAAGGGAAAAGAGAGAAGGGATACTTCATCTCCAAATCCAGATTCTCCATTAAAACGGTTACAGCTGTAACCTTCAAAGTAATTTTGATTGTTTTCCGTAAGCCTTCTCTTTCTATAATTGAGCAAATTCAATTTGGCCGAAGATCCTAGCAAAGGAAAGAAAATGATCGAAACCAAAAGAGTTTGTTCGATCTGACTACTCTAGCCATCGAACCTCATCATGCCAACTTGGCGACCCCGGAGTTCTTTAACGACTCAGTCCCGAAGAATGATTGAACATGCTCCACTTGATTGCTGCTTAACGGTTCAACTCAGTTCGGAACATTTTCCATGTGGCCTTAAAAGAACATAACTATCTTTCTTTCTTTTTCGGAAAAAGCATGAATATGGTAAGATGCATTTATTTGGGGGTCCAAGGGACCAAGGGCAAGTTAAGATGTGCTGTTCGCTCAATCACACGCTACTCAATTATTAGTCGGGTGCGAGACTCTGCACTTAGACCTTTCTAATTAATCTGAATTATAGGTACATCTGTTTAGGGAGCCACTTGCCATCACTCTAATTCTTATGTCACTTAAGAAACTTTTTAATCACGAATTTTTACATAAAATAATCAAATATGTTAGTTGAAAAATTGTGATTAGACAAAGTATGTTCCTGTGATGAAAATTCTGTTTGCTTTGGTAGAGCAAAAACTACTCCACTTGGTATAACTCGAGAGAATGAATGACAGTTTGTGTTGGGTCCATGATTTGAAGAGTCTAGATAGCATTTATTTATGATTGGCTTTTTGATAATTGCCATCTTGAATTTCAATAATCTTCAATCAACCAACCACCAGAATGTAACATATCAAAACATAAATTAATTTGTAATTACGTCTTATATACGTTCTCAAAATATATTAAAATTTTTGTTTAAATGCTTACTTTTTTATTTATGACAACCAAGCCATCAGTCTATTATTTTGTGTCACTTAAATTCATATGATCAACCCATCAACCTGCTATTTAGTGTCATTTAAGCTCAATTGCATGAAAAAATACTATTAATTTAAAGATTTCAAAACCCAAAACCCTCTAACATCATTATCCATATTCATTCATCAAGATCTCATCTTTTCTTTGTGACTCAAATTAATTTTTCAAAACTTAGAATCCAAAATATATGAATTTTTTTTATATTTTTTAATATAAACAAGATAACAAAAACACACAATAATACTAAATTCAAATAACAAAAACGCTCACCCTAATCTCATCAAATAACAATACCAAGTTCTTATGTGTCAACATTGCTTGTTTTAACCGAAGATCTTTAATTGCATTAGTAACGTAGATAGGTTCAATGGTCAAGGGTTAGAGATGTTTAGTAACTATGTTAATCTATTTAGGTTTAAAAATGTTAATTTCTGATTTGGTTACCATTTGGTGTGTTCTCATGGAACAGATTAGATATAGGACGATTTCGAATATAAAGTTTGACATGAGGAGGATACTTGAGCCGGAGGAGGGAGTGAAAGATTGGTCGTACACGAATCTACCACTCGTGGAGCTACAGTTAAGAGTATGTGGTGGAGAGGGGAATTGGAACAGGATTTGTTGTACAAACTGGGAAAGGCACAATATGTCCCTACGCGCTAGCCAGAAGATATTGCAGACAAATTGGGGTTAGTATCGATTAGAGTAGAAAGAGGAAGTGATGAGTGTACTGGCTAGCCATTAAGGTTGGGAAAAGTCTTTTGCCTAATTAAAGACTAAATACTTTACTCAGCACATGGCAATGTCTCATGAAGTTCATTCATGACAATTCACTTTTCAATAAAAAAATTATCAAATAAAAACATCTCTTGAAGTAATTATTTTCTGAGTGATAAGATTTAGACAAAAGGATGCACTTTGATATTGGGAATAATCTATTAAGTTACTAAGCATGGTAGTTGTGGAATCGTAGGGGAAGGGAAAGAAGTGATGGAGAAAGAACGGGGGGCAGGGTCACGGATGGGAGCAAGGGGGATGCTGATGGAATCAAAAATCTGACGGTACATGGCCCAAGAGTCGCTAGCAACGGTGACAGGCTAATAAAGGAAAGGAGACTGAAGAATGAGGGGAGTGACAACGTGATTTTTCCTTTTTTTTCTCCCCAAGAATCTAGTGGGTTTTTTTTTTAGTTTAATTAATTAAATTTATAAAAGTATAAAATAATTATTTTATTTCATTATCTAATAATAACTGCAACGGCATTAAATTTTATCCTTATTTAATGTCTCGGTATCAATGCCATTAGGATCTCATTTTAGAAGAACTAATCAGGAATATTAACATTTTTTATTTAAATTAAATGGAAATGATGTCACAAATAAAAAATAATTTTTTTTATATTGTTGAAGACTTATTTTAAAATTATGACTAAAAAAAATCTCATGTTGAAATCAATTCTCTTTCTTTCGACTTGTACCGATTAAAAGACAGATTTGATGGGAAATTGAGTTCCCCCAAAGGGGAAAAAAATCTGATCACAAGCCTCAGAAGCATAGGACAGATTACTTTGAGCGAAGTCTTGCAGTTCGACGGCCGTGCTGGATATTTAGGTGCCACTTCCCCAGCCCATGAGGTCAGGACATATTTCGCACAAAACCCAAGATTTTAAATGTCAGGACCCTGGCCCCAGACTCGCAGAGCGCCCAAACAGGCAAACCTAAGCAAGGCTGAGATTCATAACCCCTTGGCCCTTTTTTTAGTACCAAAAATACAGAAGAAAAGTAACATGAAGGGCTATGTTCCAAATTCCCAGCCTAATTCCGGATCAGTTTTTACTTGAGATCTTTCAACTTTTCGTGGAAGTAGTATTACTCCTTTCGACTAGCTTTCTTGCCTCTGTACTGCAAAAGACCTGTCGTGTGTATGCTTAAAAACCATGCATTCTTCCTGGCTTTGTGTGTTACAAAATAACATACTTGTTCCTAGTTTTACATATTGTCTATATATTTGTCTGTTCTGACATCCCTGGCTGTTTGTTGGTTTTACTTTTTCTTCTTTTCTTTTTTGAACGAGCGATATTCTAAAATTCATTTATTCAAAAGAAAAAGTGGGTACATAAATGGACAGACGGGGACGTTGAAGAGACTCCCATCCGTAGTCTGTGAGAAAATCAGGCTTTTTAAAACAACTCTTTTTGACCAAATTGTAGAGAACCTGGAAAATGGAGAGAAACTTGTTGTATAGGCAATTAATACTCTCAGGCATCTTTCCCCACATGCTGCTCTGACTTTGCTGAAGGTAACAGAGATACTCCATCCATACATTGACGAAGGAGATGCGTAGCTAGCATTCATCCGCCTCATGCATGGCGATACATGACTGCAAGGTGATGAATGAACTTCACTTTCAACAGTTGCTGCAAACTTGGATTATAGTGAGGTAAATAAGTTGGAAAGTTCCATACAGATTTGAAGACTCAGAGAGACCTTTAAGTTTCAGGCTAATGGATGTAGAATATTTCTATGTTCAAGAAATTCCTTGGTTAAGCTCGACTCGTTGAA